AAAAGGTTTGGTGAGAGTAGTACATAACACATGCCTGCCTTTGTCTCTGGGGAATGAGGGGCATCAGCTAAAGCTCCATTGAGAAGGAAACTCTTAAGCTGAAAAATGAAGGATGAGTAGGCTTTTGCTGGAGCCAACATTGGAATAGGAAATCAAGTTTGGGAAGTAATGTTATAACAAAGAAATGAGCAACCTTTCGTAAAACTTTGGCAAATGATTTGAGAGTTTTTGAGTTATCTTTCGTTAAGATTACACTAGATTTTATATCCTACAACTTGAAAAATCCAGTCCCAACTCACCCCTGCACTAAGCTGGAGCTCTTGGAAGACCAGACTGGTCTGATAGATGGCAAACTAACTTAAATCCTGAAGTGAAAGTTATGTAATACAAAGCAAAAAGCTAAGATAAATTACAACTGTTTACATTGTGGGCGTTTTAAGCTTTTCTCTGTCACCTTACTCTGGTCTGTTAACTGTGTCACATTATCTTGCCCTAATGGTACCTTTATATAGGTATATGTTACTGAATAGGTATGTTTTATTGAAAGTTTATGTCTAGGAAACAGTAATTCACAATTAACTTTGTAGGTTTCAGTAAAAGACGTTAAATAATTCCTCCCCAGAAGCATTGGTATTTTTTTTCCCTAGGCATTTTCATGTGCCTGTATACTTTGAAACATATAGCCAACAAAAATCACTTTCTGTCATGCATGCGATCTAAATAAAATTCTGTTCGTTTGTTTTAATAACCTAATGGTATTACAGTTTTGACCCTGAAGCTGCTTTTTGTTTTTGTTGTTTTGAGGTCTTTTGTTTGTTTTGATGCTTTTTCTTTCTGTCATAGAGCAAATAGATCATATGTAGGAATGCTAGAAAGCGCTGTGAACTCTAAGGATGATGTTTTCTTAGTTATATTAAAGAAGTATGACTAATTAAATTATTCATAACTGTAGTTTTAGTCTCTTCTTAGCTCTTTTATTTGTAATGCTTACAAAATCTTTGGGATTTTAAGATAATGAAGAGGCTAATATACTTGGCCTACAATTGAAAATGTTGAGATTCATTCCTAAGTATTGTTTTATGCCAGAGACCTCCTCCTAAAATTCATATAGCTGTTTGCTGGTTTGATTTCTCCAGGTCTCATTCAGTTTGGTTACAAGAGGAGTCTCGTTCAAATCAATCCTGTCTTCTGTATTAACAGTTCTTCCCCTATCCGCCATCATGAGACTTTTCCCCTTTTAAATATTCCCCACAATTTTTTTTTTTTAGTACCTATGGCTTTAACCTATGCTCACAAATCCAGTAAGGAAAAAAAGGGATTTTGAATTTCATAATTTTTAAGACTGTAATAGCTTTCATAGTTTAAATTTGTGTGCCTACAATACCTAAACTCTACTTTTTAGTAGACATTAACATTAAACCATGGTAGTTGGAATAGCATTAATCTATCTCAGTTCCTTTGCCCGGGACAAGATAAAATCAGAGAAGAAAGGAGCAGGCAAGCATCAAGGGGTTGAGAGTGTGAATGAGTAACCTAGGATAACAAGAGAAAATGTATTATGTGCCAAAGGTTTCTGAACCTTGGCATGTAGCCTTGACCTAGTGATTAGGGAGTTCAAATTATATTTCCTCTCCAGTGTCATAGAATTGCTGACAATGCTTACTAGAAATAGTGTGAAAATATGCTTGAACTTCGTACTAAACATGTAGTTACACAGATAATTTTGTTAATAACTTGTTTTGATTCCTGTTAAAGAAGATAAAGGTATCACTGAAACATAAAGATTCTCTTGAGGTAGTTTTAAATGTAGAATTTCAAGCTAGAGAACTAATTACAAAGCACGATTTTAAGTTAAGTACTTTTAAGCTTCTTTTCATCATGCACAGCTCTTGAAACCTATGTACACGCTTATCAGAAAAATGCACATATATGCAAATTTACACACAATTTCAGGGATTCAGAGACCTGAAGCCCATTTATCGATCCTGCTCTAAATCACTTTCTTCATTTTTGGATAGTTTTGTTCTTTTATTTTTATTTAGGTTGTGGCTAGTTTAATTTGTTGCAGCAAAGTTGATATTAAATATTAATAAACTGAAGTTACAGGTTTAATTTCCGTAAGGGACATTTGGCCATATTTATACAATAGACACATATATTAAATTTAACTGTTTTGCGTATGAAAGAAAATAACACACGTACATCCCCACAAATGCATGCCATTGACTATAATATGATTAGATGAGATTATGTGAATTAATGAAAAACCTCAGAATGCATAAGTAGATACTGTATCATCATTGGAAATACAGAAAAGTTTGTCATTCTCCTTTTAGATTTGTCATCTTATTTTTAATTGGAATATAGAAATGCTCTATAGGATTTTTAAAATTCGGTTTAATGTATAACATATATATATATTTTTTTGGTTTTTTTTTGAGACAGAGTCTTGCTCTGTTGCCAGCCTGGAGCGCAGTGGCACAATATCGGCTCACTGCAACCTCCACCTCCCGGGTTGAAGCGATTCCCCTGCCTCAGCCTCCCAAATAGCTGGGACTACAGGCGCCCACCACCACACCCAGCTAATTTTTAAATTTTTAGTAGAGATGGGGTTTCACCATGTTGGCCAGGACGGTCTCACTCTCCTGATCTCGTGATCCGCCCGTCTCGGCGCCCCAAAGTGCTGGGATTACAGGCGTGAGCCACCGCGCCCAGCCAGGGGGAACATTTTAATATATCCCTTTGAAATAATTTTAGAACCTTCAGGAGTTCCAGAATTTTAGTATGTGGTCATTGGTTCTTATCCATCCAGTAGAGATAAATGGGAAATGATGAGCATTTGCTTCATGTAAATTATGTGCATTTATATGTTGATAGAAATTCTAGTCATAACTGAGGTATTGCTGTAGTTATCTTGCTGTTACTTTGGGTCCTTTGGTTTTTGTTTCTTAACTTTAGATGTACATAAATTCCAGTCTTGGTGAGAATTTAGCAAAAAATTAAAATTTTCTTTAAGTGGTTCTCAGTCTCAGTTTTCTTGACATCTTAAAGATTTCTGTATTGTTTGAGGCCCTGAAATTTACTTTCTTTTTTAAAAAAAATCCCAGAAGCTATAAATCAGTGTTTAAATTAGTGTTAAAGAGAAGTAATAACATGTTAGTAACATTTTATCTGTTTTAATAGGCTCTTAAACAGGTGTCCATCTGAATCTGTTGAGTTAAGCTGAAAGCAGAGTGATGCTGGAGAGAAAGATGGCAGAAAGCATATGAAGAGGCAGGAGCTAGTGTATGGGGGGGAGATGTTAACATGTTTACAAAGCAGATGCTGAATAAATATGCCTCCCTGCAGTCTAATGCTCCAGATACCTGTTTATAGGTAAACTTCCTGTGAACCTCTTTTGAGAAATACAGTCCTAGACTAAAGGAGTAGCCTTGAAACTATTTGTTCATTCATTTGTTCACTTATTCATTTATTTGCCAAATTGTGAAAAATTTTAAAGACACTTTATGAGGAAAATAAATATTTATGCCACCATATTTTTTCATTGAAGAGACCTATTTTGAAATCAGACACATAATGCCATCTTCACACCTACAAAGTGTGTTCATCACTATTGCAAAGTGTTGCAAAAGCAGGGTAGAAAAATCTTAGGACTTTAAATAGTCTGAACAGATAAACATGTTTGTTATGATGCGTACAAATGCATTTGTACAGTCCTGTACTAGCTGTTTCTGAGATCACAGAATAAAAGTTTAAAACCAAGAATAATAACAGTTGAATACCATACATAACACTTAATATTCCAGTGAACTAAGCAAAATATCCCTCTAGCTTACATGGGATCTCCCACTGTCTGTGTATGTCTGTGCTTAATGGAAATGTTACAGGGATGCTAAGCATTGAATGGCAGCCAGAGTACTTTCTTAGTAGGTTACTAAATTAGAGCCTTTACTAATATCTAAAAATGGATTATCGTAGCTTATGAATACCAAGTTTTATAGCCCATGACCACTATTTAAAAAAAAAAAAAAAAGAAAGAAACCTAAGGAATTTTGAATCATTTGCCTGTTAGAACCAAAGAAAGAAAGTCTTTCATTTGTATATTGCTTTCAGCCTATCAGTGGGTTCCCAGGATCTGCCAAAAGAGTCTGGTTTTTTTTTTTTTCCTCTAATTTTTCAAACCCCTAGACAGTATGTCGAATGTTAAAGTTGTCTTGAAGATTCACTTGCAACTGTGGAAGATAGTACAGTCCTCTGAGGATAAAGTTTCAGTATTCTTGTCACCCGTGGAATCTTTTCTACTGGAGATGATTACTAATATGCCTTGACAGATGGTCTTCTAAATTTGAGGTCAGAATATGAGTTCCTGAAGGCCAGGAATTACAGCGTATTCATATCTATATTTCAGTAAGTCAATTGATACTATAATGGCACCAATAAGTAATTGTGTGGAATGAGTCTGGGCAAGATCCTACCTAACGTACTGTAAGTCATCTGGGAACAAAGCTCTTTGCAACCAAGTCAGTCTGGTGATGGGAAAAGTGAAATAAATATAAACCTTTGCCATCAGATGTGGTAGGTGTTTACTGGGCTGTAGCTACACAGGACTTCCACATCACTTGAGTAGAAATCCATCCACAGAAATGAAAGGGAAGGAATGCAGTAGGGATAGAAAACTTGTCCTCAAATACTTCTATAGGTCTCCCATGAGATTTTTTTTTTTTTCAATATAGGAGTATTTCTGACAGAATGAACTGTTTTACATTACTAACGGCATTACCTAGTTAAGTTTCTATCTGGAGATAATGTACCTGTTTACTTGTGAAAGAAAAAAATAGGTGGCATAGCTCTTCTAATTAAATAGATTGAGTCTGTATGCATTTTAAGGGCAATAGTAATGTATGTAATCTGACCAGTTAAATAAAGCTAACAGTAAAGTATCATAACTAACCTGGTTGACTCGTATTTCTTTTTCTCTTGCTTGGCTGGTCTTAGGGTTTTGACCCACCACATCAGAGTGACACAAGAACCATCTACGTAGCCAACAGGTTTCCTCAGAATGGCCTTTACACACCTCAGAAATTTATAGATAACCGGATCATTTCATCTAAGGTAAGAATTAAGTTTTTATTGTTAGGCCACGTGCAGTGACTCATACCCATAATCCCAGCACTTTGGGAGGCCACGGTGAGAGGATCGCTTACGCCCAGGAGTTTGAGACCAGTGTGGGCAGCATAATGAGACCTCGTCTCTACAAAAAATTAGCCAGGTGCGGTGGCACACCTGTACTGCTAGCTGCTCTGGAGGCTGGGTTCAGCCTGGGAGGTCGAGGCTGCAGTGAGCCGTGATCACACCACTGCACTCCAACCTGGGCAACAGAGTGAGACCATGTCTCAAAAAAAAAATTATTAAAACTGTGGATATAAATCACTTTTATTTTTAAAAGTGATTATATGTGTGTATATATATTTATTTATATCCTTACAAATTCAAGAAAATGGTGGTGGTCGATTTATCTTAACCAAAATGGTTAACTGTAGAATAAAAGGAGTTGCTAAGTGCTCGTACCAGTAGCCCACATGCCAAAAAATTATCTTTAGTTGCTAGTAAACTAAGGAACTAATATGCTGTGTACCAGAAACTATATTAAGTACTTTTCATATCATTTAATCCTTACAACATAATATGTTGTAGCTTTTATGAAATAAAAAGCTTGAGATATGAGATAGCTTTTATGAAATCTGTTTTACAAAGCAGTGTTATACTTGTTTTAAATCAGTTTCCTTAGTTGAAGTGCCAGGAAATTGAATAATTTTCCCAAGGTTGCTTACTAGTAAATGGCTAGATTGAGTTTTTTTTTTTTTTTTTAATTATTATTATACTTTAAGTTCTAGGGTACATGTGCACAACGTGCAGGTTTGTTAAATAT